AAGTGAAGATTATGCTGGGGAAATCTTACTTTCGATGTCTTGATACACACATCTCATCTGTAATAACGTCAGACTTCTGTTGGTCTTGTAATATGTAGGCTTACAGTAAATCTTTGCTACAGTTGTAAATAACTTGAAAATTTTCCTTATGCTGCTAGTTGCCGTGTACCAGTTGGCTTTGAACTCTGAACTCTTGAGACTGTGACTGACCTCATTTGTCGGCTAACTCTGTGTGTAGTGAACTCGTCTCGGACTTGATTGATACACGGTCGTAATGTCGTTCGCTGTATTCTTCCGCTCGAATTTTAAAATATATCATTGTTACTCAATGTTCTGTAACACATTTCTGACACTTCTTTACAATATTTGTAACGCATCGTCGTTACACAACTTCTGACACCATTTGTAACACATCTACTCTGACATGGCGTGGGAGCTTATTTCTTATGCTGTGGGTTATGTCAGTAGTATGGTTACTTATGTTATGTTGATATTTCAGGATGCCGACTAAGGCTTCTTCATTCTTCCACTTATAATCCGGGCACGCAAATAAGAATACTGAATCCTGGTTAAACTTACAGTACTTTATTGAACACACTTTATATTGATAATATTAATAAATAATCCTTGCATGAATGTAATTTCATATATATATCCATAGTATTCCATCATTAATAAAGACACGTCCTCACACTACTGTCAACTCAGCTCAACTCCCTAATCACACAGCTCTCACGCTACTATATTCTCTACTGCTCTGCACTCAGCTCTCACTATCTCAGTCAACTCATACTTTATTATCAGCAAAGCGTGGAAAACAACCGCTCTGACAAAAACATAATTTTACTCTCCAAAAACGTGGAGTTCACATTTGCATCTCAAAATACATGGTCAACACAATTCACTGTTCACTCATGCTACCTCTCTGTTTTCATGTGAAAACATAGTCCGTTACAACGGGCAAAAGTCTTTCCAACTAAGCTAAGGAGAGAAATACCTCGGTAGTTATTGCAATCACTTCGGTCCCCTTTATTTTTATACAGTGTTATGATGTTGTTGGCGTCTCTCATGTCCTGGAGAATGTGACCTGTTTCCCAACACAGACAGAGGAGCTCATGTAAGGGCTGAAGTAGGATAGGTTTTCCATTTTTGAGGATACTGTTATCAGTATTTCAAAAATGGTAATTTACATTAAATGTCTTCAGCTAACACAAAAATCTACATCAGTAAAGAACATTTTAAGTAAAGAAAATATTGACCTGGTGATTTGATGTTTACATAGCCAGCAAAGCTTGTGATTCCCATTTTAAGAGCATATCAGTTCCTATCCTAACCTATGTAACAGTTCAACACAGAAACATCCTTGATTAGTTAATGACCTTATAATTCTTCTATACCATGAAAATAAATACTAGCTAAACTTATATTCACTTTTATTTTTACAGTGACTGCCAAGAGAAAGAGCCTGCACCTCAGGCTCTTGACGATGAAGCAGCCAGGCGGCTATGGGCCATCAGTGAAGCTTGGACAAGATCGAATGTTGATGTAGATAAACATGTTTAGTTTGTTTATTTTAATACTAATGGACTCCCTTATTTTATTAATCCCAGCATGTATTTAAAATAATTCATTATCCAACAGTGTAAAAAATGATTGCACATGATAATTGTCTCCATTATGTAATTGAGATTGTGTTTGTTAGTTTAAATGTCTTTTTTTTATATGAACAAAATAGTTATTGTAAATTTTTGGATGCCAGGATTGATTGTTAGTTTATTACGAGCACTCCATGTTTTTCTGTAATAACATGTCAAAACCCAGCCTTTGTATGTAGGCAAATGTACTTTATAACAGATATGAATGTGTAAAAGTTAACTAATGAATAAAATGTAAAGAGGATGTTATAATAGAACTGAAACTGGACACTTAGAGCTGTACAGATTCAGGTGCTGGTAATGAAAGCCATAGTATGGCTGTATATGGCAGTGAATATGAATGTAAAAAAAAAGCAAAATCTTTCTGTGATAGAAAAATTTGTATCATTTTGAAGACAATAAATAAATATAATTACATAAATTGAAAGTTTTGTTGTAAATATAGTCTTAAATTGTTAAAGGGAAGTAATACAATTTAAGGGTAATTTGTGGCTAAGTTTTTATAATTTCAAATCTATGCTTCTTTCATAGTTTGTTAATGCTGCTCACACCATAATTACTGGGGTAGGGGCCGTTTCTTGAGTAATACAATAATATAAATGAAGTCTGTAGGTTAAGCTTCGTCACTGCAAATAATACATTCCTTTGATATTTCAACCCCAAAAATGTAGCATATATTTTTTAATTATTGTATGTAAATTTCATTAATTTTATAAACAGCCATTACATTTTCGAATTCTGCATTTTAAACTTATAGTGTTTTTGATAAGTTTCTTTTTTAAAAAAAGCGTTTTTTCCATATTTTCTAGTCAATTTGTGTTTTGGGGGTTATCAACTAGTAAAATACCCAATTTGATTTGTCTATTAAGATCATATTGAGTTGATTGAGAGACATGAAATCTGTTGTGAAGAATGGCAATATGAAAATTAAAACAAATATAATCCTATGCTACCACTTTGCTAAGACTCATTGTTGAGTAATTAATTTTAATTTCTTAAGCATTGATTCTTTTATTTTTAAAAAAAAGTTCCCTTACAATTTATCCTCGAAAGTTTTATTGCAAATTAACTTTAAAAAGATTCAAAACTTATTGTCAATTAAAGTTTCATAAGTAGGCAGAACGCATTGTTGAATATTTTAAGGTTTGGTCTGTTGAGCTAGTACCAAGCTCTTTATGCTCTCCCCAAAGCACCCCCCCCCCCTGGGCCCGTTGGAGATCTCCCTTTGCCAGGACAGCCCCTGCCAGCACTCCCCCGCTCGACCAACGGAGGCCATCCCAGCCCAAGGACATCCGGTCTGCTCACAGTGTCAGCAGCTGACTTCCTGCGGGGGATCAAGATAGTATATTTACCTGCTAAAATCTACCTCCTCCCATCCCGGGAAGCATCAGATGCCCTATACAGTGGGCTTCTACGCTGTGACTAATTCGCAAAGCAGCTGGGACAAAACGGTTGCCAAGGAACAGCTTCCTCAGATAGTTAAATAGAATCATTGACATGGGGTTGCCACACCCCCACCTCATGTCTCATATCGGCATATGTAATGATCCCTACCTTGTTTCTGCCTTAAGTTCCAATGCAGATTTTCCACGGTGGGTAGCCCTGTAGATGCTACCATTTTCATCAGATACCATGCATGTCCCTAGTCTGCCAGGGCAGGCGCACGCAATGGTGGTTCTGTTCCTGGTAATGCCTGGGGGTTGGTGACAGGGCCTCCTTAGTCAGAAAGCTACTACAGATTTGCCAACCAAGCAGAGCCCCCGGGGAAGGCTACTCAGCTGGTCAGAATGTGAACTGATAAATTAATTGTAAACAGAAAGTGCCACGGTCATAACCAAAGATATGCATCTTGCTAAGACAAATAATTACACAAAGTTTATAAGTACATTAATGACAGTATTATTTTCAGAGCTTTGCAGTTTCATTTAGCTTACCTTGGGTTTTGCACCAATCTCTATTCAGTTTTCTATTATTTATTTAAGTCATTAAAATATACAAATTATTAAAAAAAGGATGTACTGGTTCTATATCTCCCTTATAACTTATTACCTTGTTTTTATAAATGCACTTTTTTTTTTTTTTCATCCCCCCCCCCCCCCCCCCCCACATTGCCATTGGGTGGAGCCCTTACTGGAAATGAAAATATAACTCTTTTTTACCACCCGAACCTGGTTTCGTTATTTGCCGGTCCGGGTATGAGCCGGGTGTGCTAATATTCGGTATTCCGGGTGTCCTGGTCAGCACCCTGCTCAGCCCTAATTGAGACACACCACGCTAATGTAAAGCATATTTGGATTTTAGAAAATGGAGCACATAGAATCTTTGTTACGGAGTCACTTCATAAAATGCGTCTTTTTTTAAAAAGTTCAACGAAGTTTTTGACTTTGTAAACATGCGATGAAAATCAAAGATAGTATTAGTAGTAGTAGTCTACTCGATAGTAGTGTAGTGACAGTGAATATTGCTTAGTCATTGGGAGGGCTTCGGCTACTTTCACCGTTAAGATTGTAAGTAATAATTAGTTTAGGCTAAAGAAAATATTTCGACTAATAAAAAAGAATATTTATTTAGGCTAGCCAGGCCTAGATTAGAACTAGAAATAGAACTAGTTAACTTAACAGTACAGTAGTACAGTTTAATAATAAAATTAAAATGGTTATTATATTAATAATTTAATAATTAATTTATTATTTATTTATTCAATTTAAATAGACCCCAAGGTGTTTAAGGTGTTACGTAGTAAAAAAAAATGTTCACTATTTTGACTTTGTGAAAAAAAAAATAGTGAACATAATCAATAATCATAATGTGTGAGAAATGCGGACTGTCTACTGTCTGCTCAAATAGTGGACACCTGGCAACCTTAATTATTAGTCACAAGTAGTATTATTTAATTAAACATATTTAAACTGTTATTCTTTTATATTTATTGATGTCTGTTAATAGGACAGCAGAGAGAGAGAGGGCGAGGGTGACTAGGTATTTGGTTGCATAGAAACTTAGAAAGATATGGTGGGCATTGTTTCTTGTTGAAGTACAGACTGAGGTGTGATCACTTTACATGAGTGCATAGAGACAGAGAGATATATCCTCCTGACTCACTTATTGTATGGAACGGATGGTGCAAACAAAAAACAGATCAGAACACTCCACTGAGGTCCATCATTGACCATTATTAATCATTATACATTAAATTGTTAACATTTTTCTTTTTTTTAAATTTTATCTTTGATTATTTGTAAAAAAAAGTAAATGGGCAAAAATAAATATGTACAATGATAGCAATGGCAATGTAATAAAAAAACATTTCCATTTATTTGAATCAATAAAAGAATGTTTTTTTATCAATAAAAGAATAGCCGCTTAAATTATATCACTTCAAACTAGAACAACGCGATTCTTTGATAACTGACGCTGAAGTGGTAGATTATCTTTAATTATTAAATTAATTTAATTGGGCTAACTGCTCTAATTACTAATAATAAATAATAGGACAGACAGTGTCAGGGTGAGGAGATTATCTTGGCCGTTAATTAGGGATGATTTTAGCAACTTTATTGTTTCTTCAGAAAACATGCAGCAAGATCCACTACAGACCTGCTGTCACCACCTTCCCTTGCATAGTCTCAGTTTTGGATTTTTTAGACACTGCACACCATAAAATATAAACATTAAAAAAAGAATTATGAGAATTTTTTTAGGTTATGCAATCTGATGATAGTGGCATGCCACATGGTGTAAGATTTATAGCACATAACAAATTGCGCCCTGGGAAACCTAATGACACACAGTACTCAACTCACCATGTATAGTCACTTTGTAAATAATGGGCTTAAAACTAAACTAGTGAAATTTATCGCCAAGACTAGAGGGTGTTGGTATTTAATTTAGGCATATAATATTTTTAATTTAGCCTACTTCTTCTTTATTTTGAGGGCCCACGATCAATGAATTGATCATTTTGGCTCCTATATTCTGGCCTACTTATTTGTACCAAGGCTAATAGGAATAAGCAGCCTGGAAAAGTTTGGAAACACTAGTTTATAGTTCATAGTAGTTAAAAGTCATACTATATTGTACTCATAGACTATTTCATGAATAATGCATAGGTTTAATACAATATACATTTATTATATTTAATAACTTATAAGAAACTAATATTATGTCTATTTTACTGCTCAATTGAACCTAAACTCCCTATTCCTTTACTTGTGCCTACTCCCCAGCCCGCTAGTGGACTGCATTGTAGCACACAAGAAACATGTGTCGGCTATGAATGCCCCCACCTATTTGCAGGACACTCATATTAAAAGAGCACCCAAACATTCAGCAAAAAATACAGATTCACCATTGCTTACACCAAACACCCAAATGAATGGGATGGTAAATTAACAACCTTAGTCTGCACCCCTGCCCCAAATCTGTTCCAGTGTTGGAAAGTCTACTTTTTAAACAACACATGCTACATCTTTTTCCTGTTAATATACTCTCTCAATTCATTCTAAAATTCTGATATGTCCCTTGCCAATGGTGTACTGATTTATTTAATGCCAGCCTTAAACATTATTTTTCATTCACAGACAATTAGAGATAACTGTTTTATATGCTGAGGACAAAGCACTATTTAAATTTCTGTTGTGACTTATGCAAGCAATGGCAGATACCGCCAAATTAGATCCTTGTTCTGGGTAAGAAGATAAATGAGAATGTTCAATGGAACAGGCTCACTGCTTTTTTTAATTGTTGTGAGCAAAAATCCAGACTGTATAACCCCATCATAAATGGCCCCCAAGGCAAACATTAACTACTGTCATAATGCAGACTTTGTCAACCTGTTAGAAAGACTACATTATAATTGGTTCTCAAGGCAACAGTGGGGTGAGATGGTGAAGAATAGTTATTGAGGGTTGAGGAATTAAAATTGATTTAATGAAAAGGATTCTGATGTTTACACAAGTTATGAATGATATTAAAATATTTTAGAAGAGATGAGATTTTAATTGCTTTTTATTTTAAAAAAAAAAATAACTTCATGATAATGTTAATTAATTAATTTTCTTTTTACCTATTACAAGTTTATGATTTAGGATGGGGAAAATGTTACAATTTAATTAATAGTATTTGAAGGAATGAATGGAACAACATTTGAGGTATAAAACTAAAGATAAATGAGAGCTGATTGTCTTGTTACACTTCAGTTTTGTGACTTTTAAAAATATTTATGAATTGCTTTTCACAGATGTTGCACTGTCTACTACTGCATAGCTGCTGTGACAACATTGGGAGCTTTATTTTTTTTTAGGTAACCGTTATAGATATCAAATAATTTTGTTATTAGTCATAGTTTTCTGGTCAAACCCAACAGCTGTGGTACAAAGTTCAAGTGGCTTACTTCAGAAAGATAACACCACCCTTATAACGCAAACTGTTTGTTTTTTAAACATTGCATATCAAACATATAAATTGTAGGAGCCCTTATCTGTTTTTAAATGTTATTTCCTCTCTATTTTAACAAAAAGATAGATGAATATATTTCCTCTCTAAATGCACGATAAGTCTAAATAATATTGTAAAATGTATTACCTGTATTCTATTAATGACAATAAACAAACAGTCTTAGAATCTATCATTGATGTTATTTTAAACAATAAACCTGACAGACTCATGAAATATATCAAAGTCATTTACAGAAACTCAAATTAAGAACTTCCAGACTAAACATGGAACAAAATAGGGAATATTTATAAATAAAAATAACATAATTACAAGAAGAGCTTGGCTCTGCATTTACTCATATTTTGCCACAGGGACAAGTAAGCAATTACGGTACGTCTTTTTGTCAAATCGTTTGCGCCTTTTTGCTGTTTTGTTTCTCCTTAATCATGCATGTGATTTTGTTTTGTTTCAAAAACTTATTATTTACTCAAACAAAACAAAATCAAATTAAATAATAAAAAATATTTTTCACTATTTAATAAAATCTCTTCCAAGTAATTTCAAGTAGATTCTTAATTATGTTAACAATCAAAAGATTTAATACATCATGACTGACAAGTTTCAAACACTTAATTACCCCTGATCAATAAATACAAATTTTCTAGGGGGTTCCGGCTCAGAATTATTTATTGCATTCAAAATATTATGTGTGTTAATGTTTTGGAAAAATCAGTTAACTATTTATACAAGTTACTTAGTTACGGTCTTCCGTTACTCACACCTCAACATACAAAAAAGCTCTGTCAATCCATTACCTATTTGAAAGAGATACTTCTCTCTTAAATTTACATGCTATGCTTGTTTAGTTTAAATGGATCAAATTACTCATCATTGTCACTTTAACATAAGTCAAAATAACGATGCATACATCCTACACAACCAACAGGCAGATGGATTCATTTCAAGCAGAACTGTGTGAGTCGGGCAGCAGTACTTAGTTTTTAAAGTTTGCCAACTAAATGGATTCTCAATTCACTCTGTCGGACTTTTCGTTCACGCTGTCTGACCTATTCGATCACTCTGTCTGACCTATTCGACCACTCTGTCAGACCTATTCACTCACTCTGTCAGACCTATTCGTTCACTCTGTCAGACCGATTCGTTCACTCTGTCTGACCTATTTATTCACTCTCTCAGACCTATTTATTCACTCTCTCAGACCTATTTATTCACTCTCTCAGACCTATTTATTCACTCTCTCAGACCTATTCATTCACTCTCACAGACCTATTCATTTTCTCTGTCAAAATATTCCGTCCTCCATGCACATTCACAATATAACTTCAAATCCATATTACAACAGTCATGATAACTTAAATGGCTCCTCAATATAGACCAAGAATGGTTATTGGTATTATTAGCATACACTGTCATAATTTGTGGAGAGCGGAAAGATGTAAAGTTGACATTGAGTCGTGGATGAAATAAGTCTTCGGGGTCTAGGGTTTCGTGAACCAATGTTGTGTATGCTCTTTATCTTGAGCGTACTCATACATGAACATAATTTGACAATGTTTTGCTGCCAACAACACATTATAGAGTTATGAATGTTTTTTTTCTTGTAAACTAATATACATCCAAGAACATTTTTACCTATTTTTGCCTCACATTTGTGCGTATATGTTTTGACTTGATATCCCATGTAACCGTATAAGTTGCAGCTGCTGCACTAGGAAACTTAAGGGCAGAGGCTTAGCTAGTGAGTGCACGAAAATACTGTGCTGTAGTTGGTTGGGGGGGGGGGATTTGATGCCCTAATCTTTTAAATACCTTCTTTAATTTTTATGCAGAGGATTTTTGGGATCTGGTCATATTAAATCAGGGGTCTCTATACCTTCAGTCCCCACTGACCCCAAAATTAAAGTAATTATAAATGAAGATTATATCATGTTTGCTTGCCTTTTCAAATTTAAAAAATAAATGTGTTTGATTTTAGTATGTTACAGAGTGATTTAAGTGGAATTGGAAGATTTCAAGATATTGTTTTGTCTAAAAATATTATTTTCTTTTAACAATTACATAGCTTTTTAAAAAAAATTGCCTTCACTGTAATCAGTTTTTGTGAAAATAAATATTTGTCATAAATCTATATGGCATATGTTACAAAAGGTGATTGCTGACATTTGGCTTCTGCCTAGACTCTATGGGTACAATTTCTGAATGCTTTCATACTATGCCATGATTTTGAAATGTAATTAAATTGGCTTTAATATTAACAGTGTAATAAAATTATTATTTATTAAGCAGATCTTAACTTTAACTCAATGATATTGACCAGTGCATAACTTAATACTATTTTGACTGAAGCCCACAGCAGGCTATATCATACATTAAGTACACTACAAACATAAGCATGCCATAGTACATACAATCAGGCTATATCATACATTAAGTACACTACAAACATAAGCATGCCACAGTACATCCCAGTGGAAGTCTTCTGACACTAAATAAAAACGTGCACACAAAAAACCACACAGTTTAGTAAAGACAAAATTATTTAATAAAATAAAAAAATACATTTTTACTCCCCCTTGATTGTTGCTGGTTAGTAAATTCGCTGTCAACTTAGAGAAATGTATCTGTAGGCACCAGGGTAAAGCTTTTCTTATTAATTATTTGTTTTTTCTGAAATTTATTAAGTGACATCATCTTCAATGAAGACATTTGCAACAGAGCAATGCTTTTCTTTGACCAATGATAATTTGGCTGCATGTTATGGAATCACAATGTCAACCAATGAGCTTTGATGAAAACATGAATTTGTGCATTCTGTGCATACGATTTTTAGATGCCCTTGTGAAAAGTAATGATTTAATTTTAGTTTGAATCTATTTAATCTTTAGTGTTATTCCTTTCTACAGGCAATATGTCAAAGGCCCAGCTTACAAAGGCAAAGAAAAGCTGAATGGAAAGACTGTGATTATAACAGGGGCCAACACCGGGATAGGGAAAGAGACGGCTAAAGACTTGGCAAGGAGAGGTAACGTGGCCCTAGATATTTAACTTACCCACACAAAATGGGTGAAAAACAAACTTTTGAAATGAGAATGTACGAGCTCTCTTATTTGAAGCTGTATCTGTGGTGTGATCGCTGTGCAGGCTACAGCTTCTTTGAGCCACAGGTGAGACCTGAGTACCTTGTGGGCTAGAGACCGACCGAATTTCAGTTTCGGCGCCGAAAGTGGCCATTTTATCACTTTCGGCCAAGTTTCGGTTTCGGCCGAAACTGAAAAGTTAACTTTCGGCTTAATTTCGGTTTCGGCCGAAAGAGAAAAGTTAACTTTCGGTTTTTCTTCGGTTTCGGCCGAAATTGACTTAGACTTTCGGCCATCCGGCCGAAAGTGACTCAGGTTTTCGGTCATACTCAGCGAAAGCGATATTTAACAACAAACTTAGGGACATTTAAGAACAAATTAAGCGATCTTTGAAAACAAACTAAACGATATTTAACAACAAACTAAGGGACATTTAAGAACAAACTAAACGATCTTTAAAACAAACTAAGCGATCTTTAAGAACAAACTAATCGATCTTAAGGAACAAAATCAATTATCTTTAAGAACAAACTAAGCGATCTTTATGAAAAAACTAAGCGATCTTTAAACAAACTAAGCGATCTTTAAGAACAAACTAACCGATCCTTGACTACAAACTTAGCAATCTTTGACAACAAACTAAACGATCTTTAACAATAAACTAAACGATCTTTAACAACAAACTAAGCGATCTTTAACAACAAACTAAACGATCTTTAACAACAAACTAAATGATCTTTAACAACAAACTAAACGATCTTTAACAACAAACTAAACGATCTTTAACAACAAACTAAACGATCTTTAACAACAAACTAAACGATCTTTATAAACAAACTAAGTGATCGTTATAAACAAACTCACCGATCTTTAACAACAAACTAAACGATCAATAACAACCAACTAAACGATCTTTAAAAACAAATTAAGCGATCTTTTAGAACCACATTTTTTTAGAGACCCTGTTTAAAAAAATAATATTTTGCATTAATCCACCCCCCCCCAGTTTTGCTTAATTTTCTTCTACCGTACTAATTTTTTAAAAAAAATTGTAAAGCAATTTAAATTACTTTTATAATAAAATGGTAAAATCCAAAGTATTCATTAGACCAAGGATCTCAATTTCAAATCTGGGGGGGGGGCAGGAGGTAGTGTCTGAATGAGAGTGGGCCGCATCAAGTTATCCACAAAAAAGCGATTACAATTGTTACAATCTGCTCAACCTTTATAAATAACAATAAAATCATTAAGGGTTCTCAAGAACTACTCACTGTTGCCAGAGACCTGGCATACAAAAATATGTAGAAATATTTTTTTTTAAAGTCAGAATTAGACTAGTCGGTGATATTCGACTGAAACCGTCGCGGAGAGTCACGTTATAGATATGAGAATGGGGGAAACGGGCCGGCGCATTTACACTAAACTTTTCTGCGGGCCGCAAAATATAGTCTTGCGGGTCACATATTGCTCACGGGCCGCGAGTTTGAGACCCCTATATTAGATGTTTATTTATTAATATTTATGATTATCTCATTTTTTTTATAAAAGAATGTAAATATTTATACTTTCCCCACATCATTTTCGATGTATGCAGAATGTATGCGGGAACGAATTTCAAAATATCTTAATGTTTCGGCTTCGGTTTCGGCCGAAATTCATTTTTAATCTTCGGCCTTTTTTCGGTTTCGGCCGAAAGTCATTTTTAAAATTTCGGCCTTTTTTCGGTTTCGGCTGTAAGTCATTTTAAACTTTCGGCCTATTTTCGGCTTCGGCCGAAATCAGAAAATCACTTTCGGTCGGTCTCTATTGTGGGCACTAAAGATTGATTAGTTACCCCAAAGTGGCACGACTGCTGCCCAATCAGAATTACTCTCCCTCCATAAGCACCCCATACTCTCCCTCCATACACCAGTTTTAAGCTGTATTTGATGCAGAAAAAAGATAAGATAAAATGCCCTTATTGATTCAAATAAATGGAAATTTGTTTTGATTACACAGCGCAGTATTTCTGTAAAATTGTAAATGTTCAACCATCAACCTTGCCACAACTACCGTGGCATATCATTGCTCTCGATTGCACGTGATACTCACTAGAATCCTGCTAAAACATCTCATTCTTGCCACAACTACCGTGGCATATCATTGCTCTCGATTGCACGTGATACTCACTAGAATCCTGCTAAAACATCTCATTCTTGCCACAACTACCCTGGCATATCTTTGCTCTCGATTGCATGTGATACTCACTAGAATCCTGCTAAAACATCTCATTCTTGCCACAACTACCGTGGCATATCATTGCTCTCGATTGCACGCGATACTCACTTGAATCCTGCTAAAACATCTTAATATGTATCTTAAGAAGAGTCTCCCACCAGAAAGTCAATGCATTGTCTGTAAAAAACGCAGAGCAATTGATATGGTGTTTGCGGGCAGACAGATACAGGAAAAATGCCTGGAACAGAATGTTGACCTCTTCTCCAACTATTTAGATCTGACCAAGGCTTTCGAAACTGTTAGTAGAGAGGGTCCTTGGAAGATCATGACCAAATATGGATGCCCTAGAAAGTTCATTTCATTGGTGTGTCGTTATGGTATGCTGCCTGGGGTTTTGGAAAATGGGGAGACATTCCTTGGGGCAAATAGCATCAAAAAGATTGTGCCCAGGCTCTAATCTAAATACTTTTCAGCCTCATGTTTTCTCACCTTCAGAGAGTATAACATTGCAATGGGTGTCTGATACCGAAATGATGATAAGTTATTCCACCTCAAGAGGCTCCATGTCAAATCCCAGGTCCTGACAGAGATCAACAGACTTCCTGTATGCCAACAATTGTGCCCTAAAAGGCTGGATCAGAAGCAGGTAAGCAACTCAGTGTTGCTTATTTCTTCAATGCCTGCACAAGTTTCGGTCTCACCATTAACATGTAAAAGACTGAGGTCCTGTACCAGACAACTCCTTAAAAACCTTATGCTGAGGCCAACATTCAAGTATGTGGTGAAAGGCTTAAAGACATAAACATCTTCTCTTACCTTGGCAGCATACTGTCCCAAGGTGCAACCATGACAAAAGCCAGTGCAAACAATGGCAAAACATTTAAGGCTATATGGACCTGGAGAAGTATCAGCCCTCAAATCAAAATGAAATTATACAAGATAGCTATGCGTCTCTATGCCTGTCAAATGTGGACGGTCTATCAACGCCATGCAAGAAAGTTGAACCACTTTCATACAACAAGTCTCAGAAAAACCCTCAGCCTCAAAATGGCAGGACAGGGTCCCGGAGACTGAAGTCCTTGCACAGGCAGGTCTCCCAACTTTTCTGGGTGGGACATGTGAGAATGTTGAGACGACTGCTTGTCAAAAATAATATCTTATGGTAAGACGCTTTAAAGACATCCTTAAAGCCTCATTTGATATAAACCTGGACACATTGGAAGAATTGTCAAAGGCTCGATCATCTTGGCATTCCTCTTTACACAAAGGCTCCATACAACATAAAGCCAACAGAACAACGGCTGCAGAGGGCAAAAGAAATGTCAGAAAAGTGCGGGTCAACTTTGCACCTGGAGATGTCCATCAATCCCCTGCCCTTACTGCACAAGAACATCTCATACCAGAATCGCTCTCATCAGCCATCTGGGCACCCACAGCCAAATGGAGAACTAGCACTAGTATTATGATTAAAATGGCCATGGTTGATTTCGACTGACAAACTATAGATCTTATTTTGAGTATCCTACTTCAAGGATTCCCATATAGAAAAATATGACCCCTATAACCTACATAAACATCTTATTTTAAGTGAGATAAAAGCTTTAAGCAATAAAGAATATAAATAAATATTTAATATATTTTTACCTATGCCACAAAATTGTAACAAAACTGCATGCTACATGGACTACATTTTCAGAATTACTGATAAATAATAGTTTCCTTTTCAGGATTTGACTATTGAGTTTTGTAATGAAAGTGAGACACCTTTTGTTCTATTTAAATTAATATAATTTGAATATCTTTATCAACATCATCCTTTGTAAGGAAAATTTATCTGGGAATGCTTTATACTTGAGAACCATTTGCCATAAGAAGTTTCCCGATAAGTTTTCAAAGCTTCAATCAAAGTTTAAAGAATGAATATGTTTCTAGGTGGAAGAATCATTCTTGCCTGCCGTGACATAGAGAGGGCGAACCAAGCGAGGGATGAAATAATACAAGAAACGGACAACAATAACGTAGTTGTTTACAAGCTGGACCTTGCCTCCTTTGATTCAATCAGAGAATTTTGTAAAAAATTTAATGAAAGTAAGTTTTTAAATTTAGAAAGAGCTATAATTAGCCATACTAAAAGTGGATGCACCTTTAGTTAGCTTCCCATCAACTAGCTCCCCATCAACCAGCTGCACAGTTGTGGGTGTGTGTGGTGGGGGGAGAGGTGTGGAGGCTATAATACATGTATTCGAATGTAAAATGCTAATTCATTGTCAGAATTATTCTATGGAAAGCAATGAATAAGATTTGCTACATAGTGACCTTAAAGAGAGTGGGAATAAGATGTCATGAAGTTGAAGAAATTGCTCAGGACAGGATTAAATGGAAGATGGACCATAAGCTTATGGGATTGCTTCTGGCAAAGACGATATAATCGTTTGTTGTGGAAAATTAATAGAAAATAACCCTGCTGAACAAAATTTATATATTTAACACACAAATGTAAAAAAAAAATATTTTTTTAAATTTTCATTCTCAAGCGGAAGAACGGCTGGACATTCTGATCAACAACGCTGGTGTTATGATGTGCCCCAGGATGCTTACCCAGGATGGATTGGAGATGCAGATTGGTGTCAACCATTTTGGTATATTAGTTAGGGTTTGACATTCTGACCGTTTTCTATTGCTGTTTGTGTAAGTCAATATCCATAAACAATTCTTGACATAACATGACAAAGTTAATAAAAAATAAAATAGGAAGAGTAATCAAGGAAGAATGGGCTGCTGCATTAAAATAAAAGTAGTTGAGATCATCATCATGATGTCCAATTGAACATATTCAATAGTAATGATTTAATGAAACAGTATTTTTAGTTTTTTAGAGCAGGTTTGTGTGCATGATGCCTTTAAACATAAATCAGTCCAACCAAATAAAAAATAATTAAAACAAAGAAGGATTAAAGAAGGATTTACTTGCATTAAATAGCAACGTTTATTAACTTTTTATTTATGATTTATTCCAGTTACATGTCAATGGGTTTTTTAATTGTTTTGTTATACCAAGGTCAATGCAAAACAGTAACTCTTATTTTGATCTCAGAGTACGTGACAGTGAATTAATTTTTTTCCCAGGCCATTTTCTGTTGACCAATCTTCTGTTAGACAAGCTCAAGCAATCCGCTCCTAGTCGAATAGTCATAGTGTCAAGTACCATGCATATAACAGGAAAGATCAACTTTGAGGACATCAACAGTGACAAGTATTACAGTTCTGTTTCAGCATATGCTCAGAGCAAACTTGCAAATATTTTGCACATGCGGGGCTTGATGAAAAGATTAGTGGGTAAGTTGTCACAGTCTATGTCTTATCTCTAAATTATGACGTTTTGTTTTAACAATCTTTATATGTGTAATAAAATAAACAGGACAACAAATATCTGACATGTTTTACATATTGGCAGTGTACAGTGTCTCCAGAGTGAAATAATTCTGAATTTTGCTGTGGTCACCTTTTGCATGTGACATTATTCATAGTTTGATTTCTTGTAAATTTATTGCTTTTTATTTATACCATATGCCAGTGAGTAGAATACTCACTTTCCAACTTTCCATGCACTTGAGACTGGGTTTGATTCCAAGTCACACCCAATTGTCTTAAGGTATTTTTGCTATTTCATTCTTAAAAGTTATTACATTTAATGTCAAACATTGTCAATAAAAAGGTCTTTTATTTCTATCATTTTGACAAATGATTTCTAGTTGTTTTGTAAATTTTATATATATATATATATATAAAATTAAATACCATTTTTTCAAAATACCTGTAGTTTTTTTAATGCCAAGGATAAATGTTGTTTAAACGTATTCCACGATTAAAAATTTATTGTGTCAGAAGTAGCATTAAATGGATACCGAATCTTTTAAACAAATTTATGTTTTATAGACCCCAGTTTTGAAAGGTTGGAAATAAATTTATGAACATGACAAATTTGTTCATTTTACAAACAACTGTTCTGTGCCAACAGGAACCGGTGTGACAGTCAACAGCCTTCATCCAGGGGCAGTAGACACAGAGCTACAGCGCCATCTGTTCTTTAGTTATCTCCCCATTGCTAGACAGCTCACTTACCCAATCAGATCCCTCTTCTTCAAGACACCAGTTCAAGGTGCCCAGACCACGCTGTACGCAGCACTAGATCCGTCTTTGGAGACTGTCTCAGGAAAATATTTCAGGTAAAGTCTTCAATATTTAGCAAGGACCAACACCGGTTGGTTGTTAGTTTTTATAATACTCACCATTTCATTTCTCACTGCCAAGACTATGACTACTTTAATTTGATTCACTGATTCCTTGATCTGTGATCATCCCAGGGAACTTGAACATCAACAGTGAAGGCTCTCAATCATACTTAGCATGCAATTTAAACGTTATTTTAAAAATGCATTTCTTGTCCCAGAAAGAACGCTGCCTTTCAATGTCATGTCCATCCATATCTAGTCTTATTACAATGTCATGTGCAGCCATATCTAGTCTTATTACAATGTCATGTCCAGCCATATATAGTCTAATAACAATGTCATGTCCAGTCATATATAGTCTAATAACAATGTCATGTCTAGCCATATCTAGTCTAATAACAATGTCATGTCTAGCCACATCTAGTCTTATACTAAATGAAGATTATTTCTGAGTGTGTACAAATAATGTATGCTACTAATTTATTATTTTTCGGACCTTGATGGTTAAAAGACAAATTGTCCCTATATAGAGAGACTTTTCTAATCAGTCGTTTACCCTATAGTTTTAATTCTCTATCCCAGCCACTGCCGTGCTAGTCGCTTTTTAACAAAGTATTTTATTTCTCTGTCCCAGCCACTGCCGTGCTAGTCGCTTTTTAACAAAGTATTTTATTTCTCTATCCCAGCCACTGCCATGCTAGTCCCCTTTTAACAAAGTATTTTATTTCTCTATCCCAACCACTGTCATGCTAGTCCCCCTTTAACAAAGTATTTTACTTCTCTATCCCAGCCACTGCCGTGCTAGTCCCCTTTTAACAAAGTATTTTATTTCTCTATCCCAGCCACTGCCATGCTGTCCCCTTTTAACAAAGTATTTTATTTCTCTATCCCAGCCACTGCCGTGCTAGTCCCCTTTTAACAAAGTATTTTATTTCTCTATCCCAGCCACTGCCATGCTGTCCCCTTTTAACAAAGTATTTTATTTCTCTATCCAGCCACTGCCGTGCTAGTCCTCTTTTAACAAAGTATTTTATTTCTCTATCCCAGCCACTGCCATGCTGTCCCCTTTTAACAAAGTATTTTATTTCTCTATCCCAGCCACTGCCATGCTGTCCCCTTTTAACAAAGTATTTTATTTCTCTATCCAGCCACTGCCGTGCTAGGCCCCTCTTAGCAAAGTATTTTATTTCTCTATCCCAGCCACTGCCATGCTAGTCCCCTTTTAACAAAGTATTTTATTTCTCTATCCCAGCCACTGCCGTGCTAGTCCTCCTTCCAAAAGAGCTTTGGATGATGAGACAGCTGAAAAGTTATGGCAGATAAGTGAAGAAATAACTAAAGGAGAAAAATAACAGACACGATTCAAGGCAGAAAGGAACTTGAGATGTCAAATAGTTCACTTTTTTTTCTTTAAATTATTTTTGCACTTTTAAAAGTTTTTTTATTTTTATTTTGTAAGAAAATCCACTGAAAACAATTAACATTTTCTGGAATTTAATTTAGAAGTCTGAATCAACTGTTTCTTTTTTTTCTCTTTCTACTTTGTTTTCTTACTTTTTATAAATCTTTTCAACCAAGTCTTTAATATTTTGTGTTTTGAATTTTACAACAAATTGATGGACAATTTTTGTTGTTGAAAATGACACTTTTTTCCCCTCTAAAGAAACTACCTTTTTTTAAAAACTGCTTGCCTTAAAGTTTTTTCATATTTTGGAAAGTGAAGGTTCCTTGCAGAAAGTTTTAATTGTTTCTACAGAAAATCAATGGTGGTAATTTTTTAATTTTTTACATGTACTTAATTTCTTAATTTTTTTAAAAAGATATTGTTAAAGATACAAATTGTGCAGACTCATCCTTATAAGTATCTATGCAGACCCCAGGTTGTGAAATTGTGACCTCTTTAATGTCTCACCATGGGTTGTTTCATCATCTACATCATGGTAGTGGTTGGATCTTGTTTTAAAACGTCAGGCTGAGTTTTTTCTTTCTTTCTCTACATGTCTGTGATGATGTTGAGACGCTTATTTCTATTTTACATTTTTTCCAAAGGTTGTGAAATACTTTACTTTCTTTTTTTAATTCACTTTATTTAGTGAGGAGACAAATTATTACTTCCCTCTTGGGTTAAAATGTCATTGAGTGAGCAAAACTATAATGAACTTACCTCTGAGCACTCTGGTATTAATGAGCTTACCTCTGAGCACTCTGGCATTAATGAGCTTACCTCTGAGTACCCTGGCATTACTGCATCTGTGCTGAGTTGGATTTAGAGACACCTATATTTTTTTATGCCGACCTGTATCCTCATTTGGAGACCTTCCCTTAACCCAGTGATTTTACTGTTGAGATCCATTGCAGCGTCATTTTAGTTTTAACAGTGTCTCCACCTTTAGATCAGTTGTTTGGTGATATGGCTCGGCATCCAGACCAACTATAACCATATTTTTCTGCCATCAATCAATAAGAGATTATTTATTTTTGTTTTGCTGCAGTGTATGCACAGTGAAAACTGAAATAAACAATTACCATGAATCAAACTACTTCTGGAATGTATTTTTAGCTAAATAGAATGATGACGGTATATGTCATCATACCCACAATAACAGTTGCAAGTGTTCCCTGCCAAACCAACCTATCATTTGTGCCTTATCTGGGTCGACAGTCTTTTATTGTGCCCTGTACCAGAATTAAAGCCGGTTCTTCTATGCATATTTTTACATTCTTTAATAAATTATACATTTCAGCATCCGTTTTATGCTCAGACCATTAATGTTAATGGGTTAATCAATCAACTATTTGATTCTATTTGTGTTTTTATAAGTGGCAACATTTCACATCGGAATATAAAGATTATCCTTTGATTACACGATGACTTTGTTATCAATTAAATATATGGAGAGGCAACCACCTCCTTCTCCTACCTACTCTGGCTCCTTCCAGAAGTTGATTGTGATACTTACCTTTGAAATTTTGTTTTGAGACAAGCTCTGAATATGATTGCCTCGCCACATGACACAACGACCTACCTGTTAATTAAAATTTTATCATTAATTTTTTTTTATTTCAGAACCGAAAAAATGTTTCAATTGATGATGATCAATTTTCAGTTAATTCATTTTTAAAATATGTTTGTCTTATGTTTTGTTTATATTCAAATGTTGATACTACCTCTTACGTCTGGTGATTATTTATAGTTATATATATTAATGAAATGAACTTTAACCCCCACTTTCAACAATAATTCATTGGGAACAAGAATGCATAAAGACTATCTTACTTAGGCTGTTAGCTTAGTAGCACGGGCATCCTAAGCCCAGGCACACATCACTGGTCAGTGTAGCCCACTTGATGAACTATTTTACTCTTTTGAGTTAGAGCTTAGTGTTAGACTATGTTCCCAGGGATAAATGAATGAATGTTAAAGAATTTTACCATTTCAAGTAAAACTGACTATGGGAGATTTTAATTGCCCATAAAATCAAAGCTTATAGATAGCAATGAAATGTGTCTCCCAACCTATACTATGTATACTATGCACAGTGCTGTATCCAAATGTGAAAAATGTTGATCTCTTTAGTTATTTGTTTTGCAAACCAACAATACATTTCATGGGAACAGTTTTACAAAGAGACTATGCATTTATTTTATGATAACATAAATGGTTGTTGTACAAGTGGAAAGATGTATGACCTGTAAATGAATTCCTTTAACGCCATACATATTAGCAGAATTTTTTCCTTGTTCATTTTTTTTATGATTTTTAACTTTTGTCTTATTTCATATGCAGCTTTCATTTATATGTTGTGATCCAAGGATTTGTTGGAATGTTCTTCAAAACAATTTTAATTAAGGTATTATTTGAAGTGACCCCAGCTATCAACTTTCTGTCTGATGGTATCTGAGCAGAGATTAAGCTATGTGGTCAAACAATCCTGAAGCCAAAACATTTTAATTTCATCCCAATTAAAGTATTTGTTGAAAACCAACTGGCATATTTGTTCTTGTTATTTTGTTTTTTTAAATTATCCAATGTAGAGCTTCTAAAATTTCAATAATCGCTTCTATAGTTTGTTTTTTTACTCCATTTTCTCAACTTTAAAGATTTCCTCCCTACCATTGTTATCTAAAGCCATAGGTGGCAGCTTTTAACTAGCATGGGTTTATTCCCAGTGCCAGATGAAGTTAAAGGCAAGTGAGGCATGTGACCAGAATCTTTAAGGAGCCCTGCAACTGGGAGATTGAATTTATTTTATTTTTTGTCGTGGGTATGGTGTGGGAGACTTGAATTGATATTGTACATACTTTTAATGGCACAATGTAAAGTACCTGTACTTTTAATGACACAATGTATAGTACCCTTAATTTTAATGACACATTGCATAGTACCTGTACTTTTAATGACACAATGCATAGTACCCTTAATTTTAATGACACATTGCATAGTACCTGTACTTTTAATGACACAATGTATTGTACCCATACTTTTAATGACACAATGTATAGTACCCATACTTTTAATGACACAATGAATAGTACCCTTAATTTTAATGAAACAATGTATGGTACCAGTACTTTTAATGACACAATGTATAGTACTTTACTTTTGATGACGCAATTCATAGTACCCGGTACTGATGAGCATATCCATGCATGTTGAGGTATAGAATTAAAGGGAGAGAAGAAAAAGTAAGGGAAACAACACACATCATTAATCGTACAAAAGACTATAATGATCAAATGGTGGATGTTGAAGTCAGCAAGTGTAAATGGAATAAAAAGTAAAATGTCAGTGAATAAGTTTTCGAGAATGTGAAATGAGACTTTTTAAAAAAAATGTTTTAAATAACACGCTTTTCCCAAAAAGTGAAATAAAAAGTATAAAGTTAAAGTCCCCCAAAACTTCAGAGGTGTTAAGGTCACATGACTTCGGGGGGGGGGGGGAGGGAGGGGCCAAGAACAACCCCCCTTCATCCTTTGTTGGCCCAAAGATTTACCGGATAATTTTTTTCTCTCCCTTGTTTAATAGTTTTTCTGCCGTGTTT